GGATCCAGTGCTAATAGAATGCCTAGGCATCCAAAAGTCTGCTCTAGGTTCGAATAACCTCTGAAAGAATTCCAACGATTAACCACAGATTAGTGGCATGCTTACCCCAAGCGCTCAAAGCGCGCTGATACCTCAAAAAGAAAAGACGAAAGCCAAACTCCGCGTTAAGAGAAGTAGCTGGATCACTGTTGGTTCAGTTTTGACTACCTAAGAAAAGACCTTGCCATCGGCAGGGCACGTTATTTGGAATTGCCGTAAACACAAACTCCGACAGTCAAATTCTTACGCGCTTTCGCGCCTCCATTAATCTTGTGCTTTTCGCTTTATTTCATGTCGTGGTTATTGGCAAGAATTGATCGAAACGCTAGCTTGGGCACATGAACGTACTCCTCTAGCAAATTTAATTCGCTGGAAAGACAAACCTGTGGCTCTATTTCCATTGTACAAGCAAGACTAGTCGGTTTCTCTCATTTCTCTGTTTGGAATGTCAGGGTTCATTTTTCAGTTTTACAAAGAAAAACTGGAGGGATTCTGCTACTCTATTGGAGTACGACTGATTCATATGTGAAAAAACAAAGAGAGGACCGTTGATTACACCCCATTGAGATCTCGGGACCCTGAGAGACGATCTCACGTCCACACGGGATATGGACCTAGCAGTACGAACTGTGTAAATCCGGGCCTAACAAGACGGAATTTTCCGACAAGCAGACTTTCATACCTGTAGTACCTGTAGTATTACAAGTTCAGCTAGTGCAATACCGGTTGACAACAACCTAGCAGTACTGTTCCGAGGGTTCAAGAAGGGAAAGGTTTGATTACGGAATTGGTGGGAGGCTGGAGCCGGTTTGCAGCGTCAGCCGAAGCCGGGAAACGGAGGCCCCCGAATATGAGCTGGGAAATTCGAGCCCCAGCATAAATCTGGAGACCCGAGGATTCAAGAAGGAAAACCTCATCCTCACCTACACTAGTGATCCAGTGGTCCGACGGTCAAGATGGGAACCGTCATCGTGGCAACCCAGGGTTCAAGCCGTCATTAGCTACCTTTAATTCTTCACCCGAATACAACGCACGTCCATTATACCTGTATTTAGATGGAATGGTAGCCCAAATGCAGCTATAATGACCGTACGTTGAATCAAGGAGAGAAGATAGTCTCACAGGCCAAGTATTGGTGTTCTCACAGGCCAAGCACTGGTGTTTTCTGATTTCCCTTCTCCTTCGATGGATCTCTCTGGAATCTTGTAGATTTTTCATATTTGTTTTTATTTTAATTCGAACCATTTCTTGATTTATGCGTATCATCCTTGCAAGCGCAGGGGCCATGCTAAATCTTCTTTCTCTGTATCGTTCCAATTTTAACACATGTCCCGAAGGACGGCTCATGTAGATATTTACCTCTGGATCTTGTAGATATTTACCTCACGAGTAGAACAAATTCCTGTTCGCTGATAATAACCAATTACTGCCGGTGAATTTCGCCCGCTGTAGGGGCCACTAACTCCCGTCTTTGGATAACTAGGACACGTTGGTGGATTTCTTGCTAGACGTCGGAGCATCGGTTCTAGAAAAGCTTTGATAAAGGAGATGGTAGGTGGGAGCCCGGGGCCCGTTTACAGCTTTAGCCGAATCTGGGAAATGGGCACCCAATGTAAGGCTGGGAAATCGGACCCAGGATACAGATGGGAAATGGGACTGACGCCAGTCCATGTGATCCAATACCCCATCTTACCAAAACGAAAAGGAAAAGAGGGTCCTTCGGGACGTCCGTTATAATTCGAACGATACCGAGAGAGAAGATTAGCATGGCCCCTAAGCATTCAAGGATGACACGCATGAATCGAGAAACTGTCCAAAAAAAAAAAAAAAAAAAAAAAAAAATGTAAGCTTTCTATTTTTTGTTTCCAAGTTCATTATTAAATCTTTAACATTATTTAATATTTCCCCTTGTGACGCGAAAGGGGAAGGATGCTATGAGACAAAAGTCACAAAATGCTCCAACTTGGAAAAAAAAAAAAAAAAAAAAAAAAAAAAAAATTCCAAAAAAAAAAAAAAAAAAAAAAAAAAAGAGGGAGTATCGACGACCCTCAGCCCGCCGCCGTCTCAACATAAGGCCTCGCTGCAGCTTGCAGTACACAACACCCTACATACACTTGGTTGATCGAATTCTACACCCTGGGCCACGATGGAGTGTCCAAAAGAAGGTGCAAATGCATGTAGACAGCCGTGACCTGGAGGAAGCCCGATAGGCTACGAAACTTAATCCGGACATATTCGATCGATTCTTAGACCCTGGTCCAAAATGTCGCGCTCGCAGAAGTGCATTTGGTCCAAAAAACGTCCAAATGCACGTAGGCCGACGTGACCTCGACTCGGGCCCATAGACTTGGATTTCTTCCACCGAACATACATTTGATCGCTTTTTAGACCCTCGAGAACCTGGTCCAAAAGACGTCCAAATGCACGTAGACAGCCGTGACCTGGAGCCAGGTCCATTCCTTCCTCCGGTCACACCCGACGCTCCCCCTGGATAACGCTCTATGTATGACGGGGTAAATGTACGACGGGGCGGATAGAGGAGGGGAAAAAGTATGACGGGGTGGATGTGTTTGCTCGAGAATAGTGCGCTCTTCCTTGTGTTTTGTACTCCTCTAGAGGCCTACACTAAACACACATCCGCAGCAGCCTTTGTCCGGCATGATATAATACTTTTCACCTTACATCGACCTTTTCCCGTTGGACACGAATAGACTGGCCTACTCCGTTCTTTCTCAGACTTGCGTTCAGGCAATGACGTCAGAAAGGCTATCCGTTGCGTTTCTCACGCGACCTTGGACTGCTGTCCACAAACCAAAGATTTCGATTAATCAGTCGGTTGAGGGTTCCGCAGTGTGGCGACGACCACACATCGTCGCACGATTCAGGAGTCCAAGGGCGAGATGCCACGGGCAAGAGGATTGCAGATACATACCCGAATGCGGACGTATTTGAGGACAGGTGGTGCAAATCATTGTGATTCACCTACTTTTCTGCATGTGCCTGGAACACGTCCAGATACAGACACTGAGAGCAGGTTAACCGAGCACCAATTTTTCAGTCCCATTTACAAGAAAACCAGACAGTCATTTTAACAACACTTCACACCAATCTATAGAGTGCACTTCTTACAACCCCATCACAGAAAAAAACCCTAAATAAGCAGTTAAAAACATATAAAACAGCAAGCCAAAGGTGCATTTCCATGAAATTTGGCCCAAAAAAAACTCGACCAATTTCAGAAATTTCAGAAATCTTAATAGCGCAAATTCTAAAACTCCAAATAACCCCAAATTTCATATACGGTAACCCTATCAAAATGCATATATAGCAAAAACTTAAATTCCAAAAAAACATGAAATTTGAGCCCAAAACCCTAATTTCAGAAATTTCAGGCCTGAAGACCAGATGCCCCGTTAACCTCTTGTGTTGGTTCAACCCTATCTCGTCAGTGGGATCTCGCCCTAAACGTGAGCTCCGTAACAGCAGAGGGCGCGTTCGCAGAGGAGCATCCAGTACACCCCAGATGGCGACGGGAAAACACCGCCGGCGGGCACTCTCGGCCGCCAAGCGCGTTAACGTCAGCCAATGTTTTTCCACGGCGCCGTGAATTATTCTCTGGACGCACAGCAAGCGCGTTAACGTCAGCCAATGTTTATGCCACGGTATGAGCCTACAACGTCAACCCCCACTAGCTTCTCTCCCGACGAATAACAAACCGGTGGGTTACACGTCCACCCCCTACTACAAGCACTTGTTTCCTAGACGACGATTTACACCATTTTTCCCTTGTTCGAAAAAAAAAACCTCCATATTGCATATGAACTACTTATTATCCTTCCGCACAAGACGGTCCGTTCTGTCGACGAACAACACTCCCGCGGGCGGGAGTTGGGTAAAAAGCCGGGGGGGGGGGGGGGGGGGGGGGGGAGGCAGGAGGCGCATACGTCATTATGTAAGGAGAGATTTGTCAGCCCCTGGCAATGCCCGCACACATAAGAGAAAAGCGCACCCAGGATCTACGCACACAATGCCCACAGCAGCCCAATATCCGTCCACGAATTTCGAAAAGGACCATCCCAAGAACAGCGACTACCTCTGCGGCAAAAGCCACATGCCTCGCGCAGACGCATCGCAGCATCAACTGCCAGCATATAAGTGTGAAATGTCACACACAGCTCGCGTAGACGAACCGACAACCAGCAGGTAAGGGATGTTCGAAAGACAAGCAACCAGGCTATGCGATTAAACTCCCAGTACTTGCCCCACCTATAGGCCGTTGTTAAAAAACATAAATTGCTATGCGATTAAACTCCCAGTACTTGCCCCACCTATACGCCGTTGTTAAAAACCATAAGTAGAAACGTTTCTAGTTGGATGAATTTGGGCGCTCCTGTAGTGGCCCGTACGTTTCCTAAAATCGAGGCACGTTATCAGCCACGAGCTTAGTAGTAAATACTGGTGGTTTAAGGACCAGATCCCACTAGCCCCAATTGTTCCTTTCTGACCGTGGATCTTCGTAATCGAAAATAAAAAATGAACAATCCAGGGTAGTGGGATCTGAGCCGAAGTAGGGGTTGAAAGGCAACGTGACCAGCTTGTTTTCCTCGAGAACAGGTTTCTCAAGAACGTTCTCGCGATGTCTACCAGAGGCCAAAGACTCGAATAATCACGACAGCAGCCAAGTTCGGGCACCTACGTACTTGCGTATGCCCTGAATAATCACGACAGCAGCCAAGTTCGGGCACCGAGGTACTTGCGTATGCCCTTCAATCCCCAACAGCATACAGCGAGAGCACCCTCAAGAAATAGACAAGCCAGCGAAACGATGTCCAACGTGCACCATTTCACACATGCTCGTCGAGAGAACACCGTTTCCACCTAAATACGCAGTCACTCAACACATTCCATCTCAATACTCACCTCTTCATCGTCTTGTCTTCCATTAGATAGGTTTCCCTGCTGATCGTTTGACACCTTACATCCTTAGTTGCACATCACGTGCCTTCTCTCATGCATAATATTCCTTCCTGTCCACCTTTCATCCTTGGATGCACATCACGTGCCTTCTCCCATGCATAATATTCCTTCCTGTCCTACGTCAGGACGCGGTGTCGAAGCTCTAAACAGCTTGTCACCGTTCCTCTTATACGAGTCAGATCTCATAACATAATATACAGCTCGTAGACGCTTCTCCAATGCTTCTCTCTTCAGGTGATTTCATTTTCAGTTTCGTGCTTCGTTATTATTACGAGACGACGCATCACTCGAGCTTCACAGAATCGTTACATCTTCGAATATCCGTTATTAAGAACACTTTCTTGGTATTCGCCTTTTCTATTCTACTTTGTTTTTAAAGGCCGAATGATTTCAATAAAAATGTTACGCATTCATGTATTGAATCTAATTCATAGTTTAAGTGCTACGCATTTATGTAACATTGAAGGCTATCCGATTCATAAGCCTGCATGGTCTGCAATAAAGCAGAGCATGCTTCACACTTGGGATATTTCACTGAGGAAATTTGAGGACACTCAGGGAGGAAGAAACTGCGACCAGCTGCCTCAATTCAACACCCACACAACAGGGAAAAGAAACCGACAAGAGCGAGACACAAATAGGGCGAAAAAAACATCGTTTCATTCCATTTTCATCAGGCAGGTCGCTTTCTGGGTGTTAATACTCGCCCTCGTCAAGATCTAAAATCCTTCCACCACCGTTCGACAATTGTCACACCGGAGAAAGTGGGTAATGACCCCTAGCAACGGAAAACGCACAAAATATTGCAGTACATAAACCCCCTTAGCCTCTCCCTCCCATAAACCCACAAAGACAAATAAAACATCCTTCAAAAACCAGCTCCCCCCTACGCCTCTCCCTTCTATGCTATACAACACAAGGACCATCAGAAAAGAGTTCCGCACCGGGACATCGTTGTCCCACGACTATGTCCCTTCTTGGGGCTTCCTCGGAAATTCCGAAAGAACCGCGCTCGCCCGCAGATCATCCGACGACATTCAACATGATATCACAATCAGCTGCTCATCCCCTTCCCTTTTCCCCCTCCGCCAGACTCAAGCCTCGGATCGACAGCGCCTTTGGATTTGCAACGCAGCATTGAACCTCCCTCTGTATTCTCCCAAGCAAGCCCTCCTCTTCCCCTTCGCCGCTGGATTGCTTGCCGCGTGCTATCCCGCCCCCCAACAACAACTCCTATCCCCCCATCCAAAATACACCCCCTCAACTTAACACCCGAGAGCTCCTGGACAGCTCGACAATCTTCCCCACCGCCATCCCCGTACAACACCGGGACGACATCCTCTGCACAATCGTGCCGCCGTCGAATATGGCGCGCCACCATGATTGGGAATGGGGGTTTAATCAACATTCAATTCAATTCAGGCGCTTTCCGTTGAAGCGCCATATCCCAGATGTCACGTCATTATGCCCGATCAGCAGCTGCCTAGAAACCGTGCAGTTTGATAAGGTCCTTCTTCACGATTCCAGCCCTGTCTCTTATACACATCTAGATGTGTATAAGAGACAGATATCCCAGATGTCACGTCATTATGCCCGATCAGCAGCTGCCTAGAAACCGTGCAGTTTGATAAGGTCCTTCTTCACGATTCCAGCCTGCAAAACACCAACAAGCCAACACATTCCCCCACGTTAGATCAACACAAACATCCGCGCACTCAGAAGTCCAAACAGAACAGAACAACGATCTATATCTTCAGGCAAGCAAACTTCACAAACTGCCGGGAAAAACATACCTCAACTTCCCACTCCCAACAATTAATACCTTCACTACAACAACGCAACACTACGCACTCGACCACCATACTCCAGCAGTCCATGCACAGTTCATCTTCATCCGTTAGTCACAATTACTATCCATTGATCCAACAAAGTCCACTATCACAGCGCAACACTACACACTCGAACACCTGTGCATACTCCAGCAGTCGATGCACACCTGCACAGGTCTTCAACATTCACAGCAAATTTCTCAAATCAAACAACAACGTAGGTCTGCATACACAGCGAATTTCTCAAATCAAACAACAACGTAGGTCTACAACATGCACACCGAATTTCTCAAATCAAACATCCACGTAGGTCTACAACATGCACAGCGAATTTCTCAAATCAAACAACAACGTAGGTCTACAACATGAACAGAGAATTTCTCAAATCAAACAACAACGTAGAGAAAATTACTCGAATAACAGGCGCACGTTCAAATGCATGTTCAAATGATTCGCACGGACAGATTGGCTTACATTGACCAAGAATGTGGACACATTTTTCCGTTGGTCCCCTTGGAGCTGTATAACCTGCAGGCGCAACAAAGCACATAAAGCACATCAGAAATCCGATCGACGAGACCCGAAGACCAAGTCAACATCGGCCTAGTGTGACTGCACTCTCACATCATATCCACGTAAACCGGGGAAAAAACAATATCAACTACTGTTTCACACCATCTGCTCAAAACATCTCTACTTCTTTCGGAATGGCAGACTGAAGCCCCTGGCAATAAAAAAAGCGGCTGAAATATTTTCTCTTCCACCCGGAGAGAACGCATATGCCACGACTGAGCGCCAGTCCAAGTGACGACGACGGAACCCCATCGTCATTGGTGCCTTTCAATCTCTCCCCTCACACAAAACGGTTCCAGAAACTTAATTTTGGACAGTTCTTTGCTACCAAACAAACACCAAGAACCCGTGTAAACGAAAAATTACAACAATAAAACAACTAAATCTGAGAGGGAAAAAAAGTCCATCCGTCAGACAACCATCGACTCTCATCAACTCTTGCCTCCATTCATCCCCCTCTGCTCCAGCGATAACAAAATAAAAACAATTCCACGACTCCCCACATAACCATCCTCGCGAGGCGTTCCTCTTCCTCTTCGTCAGGGTCCAGACCTCAAATCTCCAAGACAAATTACATCCTCGAATCAAGTAAACCACGACACCCCACATACGCCACTCTTACGCGGTTTTGCTCCCTCTTCCTAGTCGCCAGGGTCCAAGCCTCAAATCCTCTCTCCCAAGACTTTAACAAACTCTACAGATGTCCAAGACTCGAACCAACCCAACGAATAAGTCATATACCTCGACATCCAGAACTACGCACAGTTCCAGAGCCACCTCAACTTCCCACGCCCCGTGTTCCCCTCCACTTAACCAATTGGCCTACCGACTCCCATACACGCGCCGTGTTCCCCTCCATATAGATGATATAGGGTCTCGCCGCACCGCACACGAAACGAAAACGAAACGAGTGCATCTGCCCACCAAAGGTGGCAAAATACACTCGTTACTATTTATAGCAAACCGATGAACCTGACCATACACTCGTTACTATTTATAGCAAACCGATGAACCTGACCGTTTTCTGTGTGAAGATACATTCGTTTCGTTTTTCGTTTCGTGTCCCGTGCAGTGAGGCCCATAACCACTTGGACTACCACTCCCATACACAAAATTGACAACCTTCCCGGATAGCATTATTGGGGATTAGGTCTCAGTATTATAGCGGTCACGTTTTAAACCAGCGTCGTCTAGCAGTAAAGACATAAAATCAGTCCGACACTTTTCAAGGATAAGTAAGCTGGTGTGAGTTGGTGTGATCTCGAATTTACTCCTGATATTCGGCCTCGCTGCACTACTCCCGAAATGCGCAAAACGAGAGTGAATCTTCCCGTTGAAAACTTATGCTCCGTGAGCGGTCACGAATTATCTTTCATACACGTCGAGATTAGCGCAGCGAGCCGCCATTATGGGCTGTTTCGGTAAGTTTTAACAGTCCTGCAATTTTTCAAACAATACATTTTACTGACCAGCGTACGCTGGCGGTCACGTTTTAAACCAGCGTCGTCTATCAGGAAAGACAGAAAATCAGTCTGACAATTTTCCAGGATAAGTGAGGCGGGTGTGAATTGGTGTGATCTCGGATTTACTCCTGATATTTGGCCTCGCTACACTACTCTCGAAATGCGCAAAACGAAATCAATCTTCCCGTTAAGAGTAAGAAATGATGTTCACGAATTATCTTTTATGCACGTCGAGATTAGCGCAGCGAGCCGCCATTATGGGCCGTTTCTTTAACTTTTAAGTCCTGCAATTTTTCAAACAATACATTTTACTGACCAGCGTGCGCTGGCACGAATATTAAAGACATAGTCGATCGACAATTTTCACATACGTCGTCATACACACAGACCTCGAGAACGTCATCGGCACAGCAAGCTCCGCCGCGATCCCATCCTTAGCCGTACGTCGAGCGGAGCAGATGCAAACACCTCCGCCGAGATCACCTCCTCATGCCCCATCCCAGACCGTACGCTCGATTATTTTTGGCCTACTCAAATTTTGAAGTCCTTTACATGTTGTGTAGTCTAATTTTCAATCCGTTAAACACACTTCCAGCAGGTCATCATTTGTACAAAATATCCATCCATCATTTCCACATCACATCCCCTACATCCCCAATTTTCGCTTCGTTCTTCGATTAACAGAGACATATTCAATTTCGTTTAACGATGATCTTCCTCCTATTATAAATTTCCTTAGTCTTAAGTTAACGCACAACGTCCATGTCAAAAAAATCTCTATTATCTGTAAATACAACCTTAATAGCATAGCATTTAGGCCGCAATCATGACTATACACAGAACCCTGCCTACAACACAAGCAAGCCTATCTCGTTGCTTAGCCCTTCCCCTTCTCGCGGGTAAGGACCACAATCCCCTTCCTGACAGTTCACATTCACACTGTAGGAGTCACAAACATTAATCACTTGCGTTAATGCCCCGACAAATGCGAGGAAATGCCCACCGGGTCGCGTAAAGTCATCTGATCTCATAAACAACAAACGCTCACGCGTGTATATGTTCGACTACTTATCGTTGGCACACAGAGGGGATAGCCAACTTACTTGACCCAATTCGGGATCATCAACGACAGTTCCGTTGCAACAGAATTCCTGCAGAGGCACAAAAAAAACATCAACCAAGCAAACGACATGTCAGTTCAATCACAAATTTCAGATAAATCCCATGGAAACGCCAAGAAAGAAAGCTTTCCCTACAAATATCTCCATACTCTCACAGATGTACGCCAAAGACAGCTTCCCCTACAAATATCGCAAAAACGCACACGTTCCTTGCAATAAATCTGCTCTCCTGCCCTCGATCAAAAACTTGCGTAGCGGAGTATCCTGCTGTAAACGACTTCACTGAAAATTGCCCTCGCCGCATAAATCTACCGCAAAAACATGGAAAGATACACGACCAACTCAATTCCTTTGGCTGGTAAGAGTCGTCACCAACACCCAGAGTGAACGCGGCTCGTCTTTCGCGCATCACGTAAGTGGGGATGAGACGGAAAAAAAAGAAATTACTGCGGCGAAGTACTGCGTGACACAAGCGAATGAAAGCAAGAACATGAAACACAAGAGGCCTTCATCGAATAGCCGTCGGTACACGCTGAGAGAATAGATATCAAAACCAGGTAAACATCGAGCCTACCAAAGATACATCCGGGCACAAAACACGGCCGTATACTGGACAGGCACAAAACACGGCCGTATACTGGACATATAAGACGCCCTCCACCCACACAGTCCACGAACGAAATGTGCCGTAACGATAAAATCCATCTCGTCCCTCTACGCGATATAGAATTCAAACGAGAACATGACATCACACACATCTTGACGTAATTCAGCCGATTGCTTCAGGTAATTTCTTAGTCCGCCAAAAGAAATAACCGCCACAAACCCACAGCCATTAACACCATCTCGAGATCTAACAAAATAACAGAAAATATACAAAAAAACAGAAAACAATCAACAATGATCCAGAAAATGATCCAGAAAACGATCCACAATAATACACATACGCACGCATACAACGTACCACGGATAACGTTTGCTTCAGATAACGACCCAGAGTTCCAGATTAAAAATAAATTAAAAATAAATTGACATCACTTCACGTACCTTCTTGAAGTCCTTCAGGACTTTCCTGTAGTCGAACCGCTTGTCGATCCCCTGCACGGTGGTCAAACTTTTGCGCCCGTTGCGCTGCTGCACTCGGACATGTACATAGTCCTTGGAACCAGTCTCGTTTGCAGCCGCGTCGGCAAATGGGTCTGCAAATCATACAGACAGAAAATACGGCTTAGTTCGTCGGCGACACCAGTCGTCACATGGCAATAAGCAAACATGTTGATTGAAGACTTCGGAGGCGACCAGATTCCTTAAGACGTAGCTTGCCTGATAATACAACCAGATTCTTCAGGCGTAACCCGACTGATAATATAATTCACTGAAAGCACGAACCCGCCTTCGTCGTCACCGGAAGGTGAATTGCAGTACTCTACCTGCGCGAAGATTTGTTTCCGAATTCTTTTCCAAAATAACCGACCAAGAAACGCTGCGTAATATCAATCGGTGGAAAAGCAACACCATGGGAGTCGTCAGCTTAAAGATAAACGAGCCTCGACTGATTGCTGCACGCCATTTGTCCCTCGCTATCACAATTCCATCCCAATCTTGGCGCGCTCACTCGACTAGATATTGAAACGGAAATGATCTCAGCGCGCCCACTACATTCGTTCATATTGGAACGACGGTTCACACTCGTGCGTCCGAATCCATATGAACCAGACTAGCGGGCGGGCTATGATTAATTCCATGCCAGGGGGGTAATATGACACCGACCCTAAAAAAAACGCTGCATAAAATCAATCGGTTGAAACAGAAGGGAGTCGTCAGCTTAAAATAAACGAAGCTCGACTGATTGCTGCACATCATTTGTCCCTCGCTCGCACAATACCATCCCAATCTCGGCGCGCTAACTCCACTAGATACTGAAACGGAAGTGATCTCAGCGCGCCCACTACACTTTCATATTGAAACGACGGTTCACACTCGTGCGTCCGAATCCATATGAACCAGACTAGCGGGCGTGCTATAATTAATTCTTGCCAGGGGACTAACATAAACTCCGTCCTACAGCCCCATTGTTGCCTGCAGGGAATAAGCTGCTTAGGGGACGAGCCGTCTGCGGAAAGAGCCGTCTACTCTAAGACTTGACATGTCAGAAGCATCAAACATGCGCGATAGATATTCCATGTGTGCAAGTACGTCGACGCCACGATGAGACGATTTGGACCGACCACTTTACTCGTGTTATGTGTCATAACACTCGCCACGGCACTTTACTCGTGTTATGTGTCATAACACTCGCCACGGTGGGTAAGTACTTGAAACACCACGCTGACACGATGTGGACCAACCAGTGGATGTGGACCAACCAGTGGACTCGTGCTTGTCATCCCACTCCCCACTCCTCTTCCCACTCCTTTCCTTCCAACCTACCTGCCCGACTACAACCGCGTCGAGACAGTAATCATCCGCGCACAAGCTGGGCGTGACATCAACAACACCCATCGCTTCCCTCAACCTTGTGCCGAATAGAACGTACAGGAATTATGGCTGTATCTAGACTCAAGGGTTGCACCAAATTCATCTATCATTGCCGTGCGTCCTATTCGCGAGGACACGGTAGCTATTAATAAAACATCACTGTCTCTAATCTTCCAATAACATAACGTGGAAACTGCCGGACCACATGCAGGCCCATGGCCCAGAGAGAGGCAACGGGACAAAGCTTACGCCGATAACGAGTTGAACGTTTTCAACTCAATACTAAACTCTTAGCCAGAGGCAACGAATGCAAGAAAGCGCAATAGAGCGAGGGCATTCGAGCTAAACGACAATCAATCGGTACGTCTGCGCGGGAAAAAGCTTACGTAACATACAAATCAATGCACCCACCGCGCCCGGTATACTTACGCGCAACAAAACTTAAGCATATACAGAAAACAAAGCGCCCACCGGGCACGTAGTCCACGACGCAGATAGGATGAAACGAAAACAGGGGTCCGGTATGTTTCGCTTACAAATCCATGTCCGTCGTACACGTCGACGTTATCACCACATCTGCAAAGAAACGTCATCGTCCAAAACAACAGCGAATACACAGATACGCCCTGCGACAGGAACACTGAAAATTTGAGTCCTGCGAAGTTGAATTCAGAAATCCCGGCGTTTACAGACAGACATGACAACAAAAACGACGACACACCACATCCAGAGAATCGAAATATTATACACGCGTGCGATAACACCGCGCACAACACATGCCATATTAGCTATCGCCAGAGGTATCACCAGCACGCAGATTTCCCCTCGAATAACCACGATCAAACACGTAAGAGCACACCACCCAGCGGCGAAACGAGACAAAAAAGACTCGTAGACCGATATAGCACCGAACATTAAATGAACACAACGCAGAAAATTCCCCTCGAATAGCAAGACAAGCAAACTCGTAAGACCACAAATTACACAGCGGCGAAACGAGACAAAGGAACCACATAAACGAATATAGCACCAAACATTGACTCCTGATCCCGTATATGAAGACCAGATCATCTGCATTACCCTCCTGAGGATCGAAATCCCCACCGGGGAAGCACATGTCATGGTGGACAAATTAGACAAAAGATCGTGGACAAATTAGACATAAAAAGACAAGAATAATACACGGGTCAGCACTTAGACCATAAACGCTCGCTCGAGGAGGCACGATATGTCATGATGAACAAATTAGACAGAAAAAGCCCAGCATTCATCAAGCGCGTTTCGCTCGAGGAGGCACGACAAATTAAACAGAAAAAGACGAGATAATACACAGGTCAGCACTTGCCCCAGCATCCATCAATTAGACAGAAAAAGACGAGATGATACACGGGTCAGCACTTCCCCCAGCATTCATCGAGTGCGTTTCGGTCGAGGAGGCACGATATGTCATGGTGGACAAATTAGACAAAAAAACAAGAGAATCGGTCATCACTTGCCCCAGCATCCATCGAGCGCGTTTCGCTCAAGGAGGCACAATAGGCATCATCCTGAGAAACTACGAGAGAACGACAATTTCACAATTGCAAGCCCACAAGACGCATTATTCAACGAACACCGGAAAACTCTCTAGGAAATCGCCCGACATGACATCCATCTAAATCTGTTGAAGGGAACATGAACGGCGGCGCAACCACTCACATAAAAGCGCGAGTACAAATGAGATGAGCGCAAGAGCTTGCGCTATCTCGTTTTATGACAAAGGGAACATGAAGAACGGCGGCGCAACCACTCACATAGAGAGCGCGAGTACAAATGAGGCGAGCTTGCGCTCATCTCGTCTTATGACAAGTTGGAACAAGCTTAGGCAACCCATATTCCGAAAAGTGCCAAATTCAAAGAGACCCATAACCACCACGAAGCCTGTTCACACCGCCCAAGGGCTCCTCGATGTGGGCCAAAAGAGGACTGAACGACATAGGAGAGACATCAGTCACCTTCTCTTCCCTGCTGCTATACACGACCAAAGAAAGCCCTAGACGAATTATAACCACCGGACCGGAAAAACAAACGTATATCTCACTTCTTCACTCTACCGTTCATCCATATCTCACTTCCCGGTCGTCGCTACAACATATTCGTCGACAACCATCAATTAACCTCACACCATCCCCTCACACCAATCACCCCATACCTGACCTCCCAATTTGTACTTAACTCTAAACCACCCAAACCCCCTCTCCACGTCCTTATCATCCACACCCAAATTCTCCGCTATACCGCACCGCCTCTCCGCTGTCCTCCCATTACAATCATCGCCATTCCATCCTCCAGCTTGTCTCCAAAAATCCTCGTGCGGGAATGACATACTACCAGGTGGCAATTCAAGCGTCCGACCTCGTGCTTATGAAGAAAGAAAGACAAAAAGACCCGTCCAATTCGTGACGCGCCAATAGCGACGATAAGAGAGAGAGACAGATACACAAAGAAAGAGAGAGAGAGAGAGAGAGAGAGAGAGAGAGAGAGAGAGAGAGAGAGAGAGAGAGAGAGAGAGAGAGAGACCCCAAGCACAATCCGAGAAACGAAATGCCAGCATGAGACACTACACCGGGAAAGGAGCTGGAAAAGCTCTACACATACGGGGTATAAACGCATCACAAAATTTCAAGACAAATGGCATCAATCAATCAAGCACAGCCGTGAGACTATAAAGGAAGAACCAGCGAAGTTCCAGACAAGGGAGCATAATCAGCGAGGCTTCATAGAGTTCATGACATGGAAGCGAAGTAGAGCGGGACCATGACCGGAGGTACTCACCAAAGCCACCGCCAGGGAGCTGAAGTTCGTCTAGCTCTGACATGAACGAAGACGGTTAAGACCGAAACCTTAAAAAAAGAAGGTGGTCGAGGTGCCTACACGGCACACGTGGCACGCCCAGCCGCGATTTGTTCTTACTTTCGCCTGTTTCGCTTGCAAATAAGACGAACACCCGAGCGCACGAGCGCAGAATACGATACACTGATACACTGGGGACACGCTCAGAACACCAACAACCTTGTAATACAAGATGGCGCGCGTCTGATTTGCCGAGAAATGCTCTACCACTTACTCCCGCCCTCTTCGTCTTCGTTTAAATGGAGTAGCAGAGAGCCGCACTCGCACACGAATTGATATCCAGAAACCGACCGCTAGAGCAGACAAATACGGCACACAGTGAACGAAGGCCACAGCGACTCCTATCGAAAGTCGTAGCCCCGCCGAAAATATACCGCCTGCGTGGCGATGATGCTGATCACAAAGCCACGCAGAAAGCGCCGCTCCTGTCCCTGTCCCCCTCCCGGGCCCCGGGAGTCCGGTTGAGTCCCTGGAAGGAACTGGGAGCTGCAAGATGTGCTCGCCGGCCCTGTAGACGTCCATGAAGTGGGCGCTCCCAGTAGTCGCTGCGATAGCCACAGTGATGGGACCCGGGACCTCTTGAAAACCTGGTCTACCTGGAGGTCTTTCGTTTTTTTTTTTTTTTTTTTTTTTTTTTTTTTTTTGGAACCTGGAGGTCTTTCAGGGACTGGTGGACCTTCCAGGGAGACCTTCCCCAACCTGGAAGATCAGACGACTGGCAGGAAGCGCCCGAGATGACCTGGCCTGTTAGTATGCGAGCTGCTACACCCTCCTCATGGGAAGCACCGTGACGTCTGCGTGACATACTTCGAGAAAAAATATCACCTGGGATGCGAAGGGTCGGGCCCGACTGGGGCCATGAACAAAAGGGTCTGAAAGGCCCTCAGACGTGACAAAATAGGGTGGGCATGTATTGACTTACCGTGAGGGCACGGGTGCGCAGCCCGTAGCTCGTTTGTTGATGTGGTTGGGGAAAGGTGAGGTAGTGATTATGGTGTGCGTATGTTTTGCTCTGTTCGCAGCCCGTCAGGGTTGCGTTTCCCCCCCCTGAGAACATTTTTTGTCGTCGTTCATTATACGGTCGTTGAGAGGCTGAAAAAACAAGGCATGGCAGTTTAGGGGGTGGTGGCATCTTATTTGAAACAGCAGGACTGGTAGTGCCGCACAGGTTTTGGTCCAGGACCTCGTAGGACCGGTAGCTGCTAGTAGGAGGCCGAGGAGGCCGCAGTCCTTTTTCGAAATTGAAACGGTGCGAGTAGTCCTTTTTCGAAATTGAAACGGTGCGGGTCCTACACGTTGTATTCGAATAGAACCTGTACACTTTCTATTCGGATTTCGAAAAGAAAAAACTCTTGTATTCGGATAAAATTACTTCTTATTTTTGTTGGAGGTCAGCGCCTGCCCTTGTGCTCCCC